TCTCTCTCTCACACACACACAGCACTAAAACTAAATTAAGAAGCCAATGATTAAGACAAGCGTCTACTAGGCCTGTCATTTCAGCATCCTTCCATCATAACATTGTGGCAATGGCAATTTTCCTTGAGAACCTCAAGAAAAAAAAATCTAAGGGAGAGCCTCCTATTTGAGAGTTGAAATGTTCAACTTATATTAGCTAGGGAACCACTTTGGAAGCAAGTAAGTCCAAGGTCTCGGAAAGAAAGAAAGACATGAAAGAAATGAAAGGAAGGAAGGAAGGAAGGAAGGAAGGAAGGAAGGAAGGAAGGAAGGAAGGAAGGAAAAAAAGGAAGGAAGGAAAGAAAAAAAGGAAGGAAGAACTAGATAGATAGAGACCCCCTGAGACTAGGACTCTCAGGCAGGTTTCTTTGACTCGGCCAGAGGTCCCAGGCTCTCTGAAGACAAGTACATAATCACGGAAATGAGTGGGCCTGAGACCTGCAACAAAACACAGTGGGGAGAAACGTCTTCCCAATATTTCTCCACAGAGAGACAGGCGCAGAGATCCACAATGGACTATGACCACCCCAGGGCCAAAGGACTTTAGAAAAGTCTCTCAGTCAGACTGCTCTGCACATTTTTTGTAAATATAAAATGCCCACTACCCTTTTACTTGTTTCCGGTTATTTGCCAGTATACTCGGGACCTTCAAGGATGGACAATTTGTGGAAAAAGTTGAGACCCTGATTATGTGAGGGCAAGCCTGTTCCATTTCTTTACCCCATTCAATTTGGAGAAAGGGTTCCACACCTTTAGGACAATCACACACTAAAGGCCAATTCCTTTCCCCCCCTCTGGTTGCCCAAGGAAAGGGCGCAGCTTCTTCACAATGGTCAGGAAATGGAAAGACAAAGATTTGGAGAGGTGATGGTAAATGAGAATGAAGGAGGTTAGGGCTCAGGTCCTTAGTTTTAATCCTCCAGTGTATCTGAAAGGGAGAAAGTGAGAGTTGGCAAAAGTCAGCACACAAGACAATGCTACCTTGGATTTTCCATCAGCGACACACCAAAAGAAGGGAAAAGTTACTTTTAAATATATGTCAGGTTGAAAGAAAAGCTTACAGGCTTCAAAATGCTGAGCTTCTAACTGTCCCATCACTGTTCTCCACAATTAGTTGGAGCTACAATTTGATCTCCCATAGGAGCCTGAATAATCTACTTTGGGAAGTGTTGTTGCCCTGTTCAGAGATGGTGGGGCATTGAGTCTCCCCAGTTTTTAAACACCCTTCCAAAAAGTCCCCAAACTTCTGTGTAGTGAGGGAAGATGGACCAGTGTGACTCCGTGGCCATTAGGCGGTCAGTTCTGAACCAGCAACCTTATCAATTCTTATAAGTCCATCTGACCGGCCCATATAGCGGATCCATGAGTGAATTTTAGAAAATGCTCTCACCCTCTGATGGTCTGTGAAGGAATGAGAAGAAAGAAAACTGCATGGGGTGAGCAGACCAGCAGGCACGCCGAGAACCATTCATCCCAACGTCTCCCTTTGCCTGGGGAAAGTCATATGAGAGAAAGTAAACTATTTATTAACCAAATACATTTGCTTCCTTTCTAAAATCCTGGGGGAACAAACCGACGAACCAGTTTTACTTGTGCCTGTCTCGCACCCACCTGCCTCCTAACTCTTGAAATGCCTTTCCTGGAGGTCTTCCCCTTCCCCCTCCAAATCGAAGCAGTAGAATATCCCTGAGAGCATCGTTTGCCAAAAGGTCGTGATCTCCTCTCTCCCGAGTTCACCCCTGGAGGCTGAAACCGCAACGGTTCCGGCAAGCAGTGTCCAGGGGTCCTCGCTCCTCCCCGCGCACGCCCGTGCGCGCCAGCCCGCGCTCCTTTGTCGCCGGCGCCTGCCGAGCGCAATCAAGCTGGAGGGCTTGCTCTTAGATTTCATTTCCGGATTTTTCACCGTTAAAGTTACCTTTTCAGCCGAGATGTCTCGTGTTGGCACATCACACCGGAAGCATGCACACAGATCAATAATTTGGGGCTAAGAGGTCATCTGCCACGGCGAACACGAGAAAAAAAAATTAGAGACCAGTTAAAGGTTTTAAGCTTATTATTTGTATAAAGCACACATCAGAGTTAATAGACTGGGGTGCGTGCAGGTGAAGTCAATTCGAATATTCAATTACACATAAGGGGCTTTGAACCCAGTAGGGGAGAGCAGTTATACCCCCATTTCTCTCCTGCCCGCTGGAAGGAGTGGCAGGCCGGGAGGAGAGGAGCGGCCAGGATAACCTAGATTGGGCATGGCGTCAGGAACCAGTTACCGTTATTATGTGAAAACAAAACCATCCGAACCCTCCATTTCAGAATCGACAACAAAAGTGGTGGTGGTGGTGGGGTCCCTCTTATTTAAAAAGCAATCCTAGATAGATTCTTGTTTACCAGTGTGAGTATCTCCCTTCTGGCTTTGTACTAGGGCGCGCAGGAGAGAAAGTAACCTTGGAGAAGAAAGCACGGTCGGCGAGGAGGGCTTCCATGCCTGCGAACGATGAATCGCTACAGTGAAGGGGTTTCCTTTTATTCTCACCCTTTTCTCTTCTCCTGGAGCGTGAACTTGTTAGATAAGATAGATGAGGCCCCGAGGAAATGGAAGCGCTGAAAAGCCGGCTCCTTGGAGAGGGCCTGCGAGGCTGGCAGGCGGCTGCTGCGCGCCCTCTCGGAGCGGAGGGCGCCAAGCTCTCTGGGGGCTTCCCCGCTCCTGCCTCCGCGGCCGCCAGCAGGCCCACGCCGCTCCCACCGCGCCACTCAGACCTACCTTACCTTTCGGCCGGAGAGTAAACACCCCAGAAGACGAGAGAATGGTCCCTAACTGGAATGAGTATCTTCTCTCCGGCTGGGAACACACTAAGCGGGCCCGTAGGCTTTCCTGGAAGAAACAGAGGGTATGAGACACTAAATTTTAAAGAAGTCTGGAATCGCACATGGGGCATTATTTTCCTCATTAATTTGAAGTAATACTCTTTCCTTAATTATATGTATATACGCGCTATTGATGACATACCGCGTTTTACTTGGGGAAAAAAAAATGCTTAGCACACATTCCTCATTCTTTGTCCCCTCGAACCGAACATTTTCAGCTGATAGTGTGGCTGGTTGGGATCAATTAGTACTGGATTTTGCCCCAGGATTGCTCCCCAGGGCAGGCAAATGGAGCCAACTCATCCCTAGCGTCGCCCCCCTCCCCCCTCCCCCCACGTGCGTATCCACGCCAGGGCTTTAGAAGCAGTTCAAAATCCCCAGTCTTGGTTTCACTTGATTTTGTTGTTGTTGTTATTGGTAAATATTGGGTCATACACAAGCCACTAGTCAGAGCCTTTGGCTCCATCTCGCAGCTGCAGCGCCTAGCGGGGCCTCTGAGTCCTGTCTTAGGAACTGGAGGGATTGATTCATCGGGAAAAGAATTGCTCAACCTCGTCCCTTCAGCTGTGGAGATGGTTCCTTAAAATCTTACGTCCTGTCTGTTTACTGTCATGTTTATTTCTTAATTTGCTCAGATATGTGAACACTAGGTAGATGTGTGTCTTTTCCCCCCAGCATCTTTTCATTGAAATTATCTTTTTTTTTAAGGGAGAAACTATTGATCCCAGTTTTCTATGTCTATCTGAAACCAAGAAGAACAAGAGAGTAACAAATAATTGTTATTTTGGGGAGTGGGTGGTTGAGTAGGTAGGGCGTTTGGGGGTTGTGTAATTGGAGTAATATATACAGTTTATCTTTTGACTGCTCTGTGTATTCCCTTTCCCTTGATACATATTGCATATGAACTGAACCCATGGTTGGCTTGTCTTGGCATGTTTGAAGCCCCAGACACCCAACAGTATCATTACAGGAAAGAGACAAAACCCCAAAGACTCCAGGCAATGAGGGGGCTGTCTTTGGAGTGAATGGAGAATGTGTCTTGGCTTTGGGCTTTTTGGGGTGAGCTCACCCAGTGGCTCAGACTGCCTGGCACCCCGAGTTCAGGTCTTTCCCGCTGAAGAACAGGGAAGGGTGAGGATAGGGGTGGTGAAAGAAACGGCTGATTTTCGACATGTCTAAGGGACTCTATTTATCAGTGTTACCGAAGTGTACGTTACTGGAGAAACAACAAAACAAGCATAGAGCTGCAATTTTCAAGAAAATAGGATCCCCAAATATAAAAATAAAAAAGTAGCAGATAAGATGTATAATTCAATCAAATTACACAAAATTGCTTGAAAATCCAGAACAGTAGCGATCCATTATGCTTCTGTTTTATTAGTGACAAGTACAATTACTCTAAAATAAAGAACACTGGTGAATATATAATTGGCTGTAATCATGTTAGTGTTTGAATAAAAATGACGGGAACATTTAACACTTTGACAACAAAATGTTCAGAAATAACTTATTTATTCAAACAGTTTTTATTTTCCACCAAGTGAAGGAGAAACACAGTTTGCTTAGGAAAAATCAATGACTTTTCCCTGCAACAAATAAATATCCAAAGGGGGAAAAAGCCCCATACCTCTATATTATCACTGTTATTATTTTTAACCAGCAAGAAGCTTAATCTTGTGTTTGGGAGTCAGCAGCCGCTTGACGGTTGTGGGACCAACGCCCGCCACCTAGAGGATGAACTCTGCAGCTCACCCAACGCCAGCGGGGTTTCGGCGGTGATCTCGGGAATCAAAGTTAATATTCCTTTGCAAATTGCTCTCCCAACTAACTCCCTCCTCCGCACCCCCTCACCGCCCCAGACGCCCTACAACCTCGTCACAATATTTTCTTAGTAATTGCTCTACACAACTGACAGAAGCGCCGAGTCTCTGGCAGCGCGGTGCTCTCCCAGCAAAGATCCAGAGCGAGTTAGGGAAGCAGGTCAGGAATCATTTGGGTCTGGGGAGATAATCCACTCTCAGCCAAAACTCATCTAGCAGAGGCTGAATTAGGGTCTTGTGAAGCAATGGCTGATGCCGGAACCACCATATTCCAGTGCTTTTTAGGGCTTTCTTGCAGAAAACAAAGCCGGGGTTCCTCTGAGGCTAGTTGCTTATGGGGGGGCTTCCCCCCCCCAGACTTCCCCCCAGTCCACGCTTCCCTCCGTCTCCCCCTCCCCCTGCAACCAACCACCCCTGCAACTGGAAGGCCTGCGATCCCAGCTCTCTCTAATCAATTCTTCCAGCCCAGCGGGTCGTTTGATTTTCCCAAATGAACTGCTTGACGTACTGAGGTAAAGGCATTAAGGGGAAGGTGAGAGCTCAGGTCTCTACACAGAGTCCCTGAGTTTCTAAAAAACTAGCAGTGTGCGGGCCAGGGAGGCTGGGTTGGGGATCGGGCCCAAGGGCCTACTGGTCTTGGAGCATTTTTGTCTGGTGTCACCCATAGGCTCCTCTGGCAGAAAGAGCCACCCTCACGCCCAGATCCTGCCCGACCATTCTCACGCAAATCTTGGGGACAGGAGATGCTCAGCGAGGGTGCAGGGGCCGTGGGAAGAGGTACCGAGCTACTCCGCGCGCTCAGGGTCTGATTGATCCCGGGGTAGCAGACCTTCCACAGCTGCGCGCCCGCCGTCCAGGCCCGTTTCCACACCCCCGGGTCCTTGCTCTAATGTCCCCAGAACACTGTTCAGGCCGCAAGTTGGCTAGACGGCCGAGGAGGGGACAAGCAAGTTGAATGTTTTTTGGGAAAAAAAAAACAACCCTGATAAATAATTGGGCATCAAGTACCCAATTTTATTCCTGCTATTTTCCCTCCTTCTCTTCCTTACCGCCCTCAGTTTCTCACTTCCTCCAGCCCTCTTCCCTTGCCTGCCTTCTCGCACCCTTATCTCTGTCTTTAGCCTTCCCCCTGTCTCTGTCTCCTTCTAAGTCAGCGGTTCTCAACCTGTGGGTCGCGACCCCTTTGGCTGTCGAACGACGCTTTCACAGGGGTCGCCTAAGACCATCCTGCTTATCAGATATTTACATTACGATTCATAGCAGTAGCAACATTACAGTTATGAAGTAGCAACAAAAATAATTTTATGGTTGGGTCACAACATGAGGAACTGTATTTAAAGGGCCAGAAGGTTGAGAACCACTGTTCTAAGGGGAAGAGAAAGGACGCAGCAGGAGGGCTGTGGAGGTGACCATTTTTACATTGAATTTCAGAACCGCCTTACTTGTCAGTTCTCAGTCCCGGTGCAGGAGCTTAAAGAAGACACCCCAAAGATGCCGCTTCCATCCTCCCTCCCTGCCGTGACCTCAGAACCCTGGCCTAAGAAGTTCTTGTCATGTTGTGGAAATTAATTTTTGAGATGGTCGAAATAAATGTATATACAAAATCCAAAACAAAACAAAAAACACCTCTAAAACCGATGTCCAGCGCATGCACCCCCCGCCCCCACTCAAGTGAGGGCCCGCCCCAAACTAACTCCACCCTCCCGCCTAAGAACTTAAGTCCTCCGAAATGTTTCGTGTTGTTTTATGTAAAACTAGCGCTTCCACTCAACTCCCAAGTCTATCATTACTCGCCCGCATTATATTAGCAGGCGATGTTAGCCTTCCCCTACGTGTTCAGGCTGCTAATGAGGGCCACTAAACGCAGCAAAAGATGCTCATCTGTGGCGCTTTTCCCAAGGCTGGCCGCGATGCTGGCTCCTTTTCCCATTCTTTTCAAGGCAGCCCCTTCCTCCAGGCCCCGTCCTTTTTCTTCATAAGGCGGGGCTGAAAAAAGGGTCGGGCAACTTTGAGTGAGTGTGAGAGAGAGCGCTCACTCTATCTCCCGCCTGCCAATCCACCCAAGAAGTGGTGAATTTTGGGTTTTCCCTCCGGAGCAGGAATAGCTGGATGCTTCATCCGCGGCATCGGTTGCCTCTCAGTGAATTTGCCTTCACATTTCCCTCAGCCACCCCTTTCCGTTCTCAGCTCAGCCTATGAAAGCGGTTCAGGGTTGCGCTCACAGCCTCCTCTGCGTCCTGCTTAGCCGCGGCCTTCGGAAGGCAACCCTGTCTGCTCCGTTGGCAGGAAAACTGGGTTGGAGATGCTTTCTGTATAAGACTGTGTGTTGTGTGCGTTTGTCTGGTGTTAGTAACTTTATGGGGGAGACGCTCCTGGACTTGCTGCCCACCCTTCGCCACGGAGGAGACTCCCAGGGAAGGAATCACCTGGACTTACACGACGGCCTTTTGTCATTTTCTCTCGGTCTTTCAAGTGTGGCCTGGGAGAGTCATGCTTCATATGTTTCCAGTTTCCAAGAAGACCATCAGGGAGAAAGCAAAATAAGAGTAACTTCATGTGTAATAGGCACTACTCAATGGGTTTGGGTATAAAAAGATAATTGCCTTCATTGCTTCCACCTGGAACACTTTTGCTTTTTAAAAGCCTAGAAAGTGTAAACATGAAACAGTTTTTCAATTCTGGCTTTCTTCCTATGGCTCCTTAGGCAAGTGACGTCACCTTTCCAGTTCTTTCTTCATCTTTAAATGATCTGCATGCATTGCTATGTAAAATGTCATCCACTCACCAAAACCCCAACAACAATAAAAAACAGTTCGTCAGATTATAAGAACCTTCTTTTTTTTTTTTTTATGGATACGGGGAAAAATCTCATTCATACGGCAGCAGCGACATCTAGTGACAAAAATGCTCAATAATAGTGATGAAGGTGTGGGATTGCTTACCCAGGTTTTCCGAGTAGAGAGACATCTTGGTTTTTCTAATAAATTTCGAGTGTCTGTCTGGCAATGAGTACTCTTTTGATATAAAAGGGCATTTTATTGAATTTATATATGTGAGATAAAGGAAATATATTTTACTAGTTCAAGTGTGCAGAGGGCAGTTGAAATTTGTAAGAATATTCTTCTACTGTTTTAAATTTCATGTAAAGAGACTCTTTCATTTTGTGGGTTGTGCTTTACTTAAGTAATTTTTCAAAAATTAAAACCAAATGTATAACTGCACAAACACTTAACAAAATTGGAAAAGGTAGAATTTTCCAAGATTTCCTTTTGTCTGCATCAACCATTTATTTGATTTGAGATAGCTGTGTAATCAATATTACAGAAGATAATAAAAATATCTTTTAAGTCACCACATATATGCTCTGTCTGTATCACTTTTGCTCAAAATATTTTGAAATTCAAAGAAATGGGATTCCTATTTTTGGATGAACTCCCTCTCATTCATATATATATTTAAATGGAATATCTGAACACAGGTGAAGTCTTAGCAATGGCAGAGAGACATATAGTGCAAGACTTTTCAAAATAACAATTTAGCATTTTCTTGGCATTTAACACATTAGACAGAGGTAAGGAAGAATTCATCTCATTCTCTGTGACTATGCACTGGCCACGTGCATGGGCATAGTTTGTTCACGCACTTACTGAGGTATAAGTGTATATCATTTCCTATTAGCAAAGCAGCGGATGACTATTGGAATATAAGGACCCATGTTTTGTAACTTTAAAGGAAGCTCATTTTGCCCATTCTGTTTTATTTTTCATCAATACTTTCTGTTCTTTTACTATGGAATTGGCTACTGATCGGGACACTAGCTATTAGGCAGTTGGTATTCTAGATTAATAAGATATCTGGCCTGGTGAACACCTGGGAGAATTTGAGCAAGTCACACCACTTCTCTTGGCCTTAGTTTCCTTATATAGGAAATGAGGAGGTTGAACTCTCCACTTTCTCTTATAGCTCAAAAGATTCTATAAATCATCAATTCATTTGGGAAGATCCTGTTTTGGTGCCTCTGTTGTCATTTGTGACTCTTCAGTATCCCTTCTGAATTCTCCAGTTAGGCATCTCATCCTAAATAAGAATGGAAAGAATTAACAAATCCTTCTTCTCTATGTCCCAACCATCTCCCCCTTGGTCTGATGTAAAGAATGACAAAAATCTTAACTTTTCAGTCAACATTTACTAACTCATTGGCATGCACTCAGTTCTCTCTTGCTGTCCATCCAGAAAAATCACAGTGTGTGAATGGGACTAAACTGAACACAAAGCTGAGGCAGCTGTATTTGAGTTTTTCTAACATGTTCCATCTCTTCATGGTAATGATTGTTTATGATTATTATTATTAGGAACCAGAGCCAAAATGTTCTGGCTGCAAACAGCTCACATTTCTTCTTCGTTTCTGTGGCCCTGGGAATACTTTCCTTTAGGAGGTGGCAGTAAAGTGTCTTCTACTTCTGTCTGGCTTGGAGCATCGTTACACACATTTAGCAAGAAGAAGACTGTTCCTAGGAGGCAAATACTACTCCCTGATGTGAACATGCTCAGCATTTAATACGGCTCCCGTAAGACTGAGGACTTATACAAGGAGAATCAGACCTATGCTGACCTGGACTGGTAGAAGTGGATTCATTACAAAGAAAATTCTGAACCTGTCAAAAGTTTATTTTTTATATGCTTTTTTTTGTTCCCTAGGTATTTCCCTGCTCTTCCTACTACTAAAACTGCTAATGAAAAAAACAACAACCCTATATTTATATAAAGTTAACAAGGCATGCTTTCCCTTGTGAATTCCTCTCTGACCCAATAGAGACAAGGCATTATTTTATTTTAGAAGCGAGGAAACTGACCTGGAGAGGCTAAATGACTTACCTGAGCTCACACCACTAGGAAGACACAGGAAAGGAGCATGGATCCTGTTCTTGGACAGGCCGCTTTTCATCCTGGTTGTCGTCAGGGTTGGGTCCTCACACTGGGACCTGAGGTTACTGACTGACCCTGCTGCTGTTCACTAGGCTTCGCACCAATATTCCATTTGAGAAATCTTAACTTTTATTTTTTTAAAAATATATTTTATTGATTTTTTACAGAGAGGAAGGGAGAGAGATAGAGAGCTAGAAACATCGATGAGAGAGAAACATCGATCAGCTGCCTCCTGCACATCTCCCACTGGGGATGTGCCTGCAACCCAGGTACATGCCCTTGACCGGAATCGAACCCGGGACCCTTCAGTCTGCAGGCCAACGCTCTATCCACTGAGCCAAACCGGTTTCGGCGAAATCTTAACTTTTAGAGAATTCTAGGGACCGCTTGCAACATGGTAGAGTCCATGTTTGCTACTCTTCACTCAGATATGATTTTCTCCTCTTTAAAATATATTTTTTATTGATTTTTTACAGAGAGGAAGGGAGAGGGATAGAGAGTTAGAAACATCGATGAGAGAGAAACATCGATCAGCTGCCTCCTGCACACCTCCTACTGGGGATGTGCCCGCAACCCAGGTACATGCCCTTGACCGGAATCGAACCTGGGACCTTTCAGTCCGCAGGCCGTCGCTCCATCCACTGAGCCAAACCGGCCAGGGCTGATTTTCTCCTCTTAATGCTAACAATTTTATATTCTTTCGGAGTTTTTGGTTGATAATATTTGCAAAAGGACTGTACCCCAAAACATATTTGTTCGTGATCTTGGGGTCCAAAATCTTGGAGTTGGAGTGAATGTAAGACTTCATCTGACTCAGCAGCTCTGACCAGTGATCACTGTCTGAATCAATGGCTCCTGGGAGCTGTGCTGAGTCAGAGTCTGGGTTATTCTGACTATTCTGGTGTTGTTTCCTGCCATCTGCCTTGCTTCTTGGCTTCATATATCAATGCATTTGGGAACTCAATTCTTGCTGGCTACCCTGTGGACTGGTTTTCCAAATGGGCTGCGTCTTCATTAGCACACTGTAGGTCTGGCTAAGGACCCTGCTCTCAGCTGGGAGCTAAAGCTTCCTCTTCTACGCATTTTCTCAAGTGGCTCTCTGCTGCCCTCTACTGGTATCCAGCCACCAGATCTGGCTAGCCTTCTGCATCCCTGGCTACAAATGAAATATGAGAGCAGTATTAAGCATAGTATATATTGGTTTTATAGCACAGAAAAGCAGAAATCAGATTCCCTTATGTCCACCTATACCTTATGTTCTCATTTACTTCCTATGAGTTGGCTGATGGGCCATGAGGAGTGTATCTGACTTTCACTATTTTCAAGTATTAGTGCTAGAATATTTGGAATAAATACTTCTATTTAATTATCAAGTTGAAATACACTTCAGCTGACATGATACTGGGCCAAAAATTTCTAAATTTGCTGTACTTACTCAGTCTTAAGGAATATTATATGTTTTATCATTAATGTTATAAAGATATAGTGAATTATGTGAAGTCCCTAAATGATATGAGCACTTTTTCATTTATTCAACAGATATGTACCAGAAAGATGTAATATGCCAGAGACTATTCTTGGCACTGAGAATGCAGCATTGGATAAAGGAGACAAAACAAACAAGTAAAACCCCTCTGTCTTTATTGAGTTTACTTCCTAGTTGAGGAAAATGAACATTAAGTAAACTAATAAGCAAAATGCTCTTTAAGGGAACATGGCATTAACATATCTATTTTCTACCACAAATACACCATAATGATTCTATGTTTTAAATTTTTTAAAATATATTTTTATTGATTTCAGAAAGTAAGGGAGAGGGAGAGAGAGATAGAAACATCAATGATGAGAATCATTTATCAGCTGCCTCCTTCATGCCCCCTACTGGGGATTGAACCTGCAACCCGGGCATGTGCCCTGACTGGGAATTGAACCATGACCTCCTGGGTCATAGGTCGATGCTCAACCACTGAGCCACGCCGGTCGGGCGATTCCATGTTTTTAAGAATGTTAGTATTAAGATTAAGAGTGGTATAACCAGAGATTAGATGGGGTGATGTATGATACAAATATTTACTGTGATTTATTTGTAAATTTATTGTGAATATAGTGTGGGCCTATGAAAGTTATTGATGCAGGTGAATGTATGAATCTCTCAGCTGTAAAGATGTTTTGTCTATTTTTTAAATCCTCACCCAAGGATATATTTTTATTGATTTTAGAGAAAGGAAGGGAGAGAGAAACATGGATCTGTTGCCTCCCACACACGCCCCAACTGGAGATTGAACCTACACCTTGGGTATGTGCCCTGACCTGGAATCGAACCCTCAAACTTTTGGTGCATGGGATGACATTCCAACGGAACCACCCAGCAATGGCAAAGATGTTTCACCTGGCGATTGCTGCCTGGTCACCCCTGTAATTGCTGTCATGGAAGCCCCGCTCCTGCTGCCCTTGTTGATGGGCTTTGTTACTGTATTTCCTATTCTCTTTATTTTTATGTTTCTCTGTCTGTGTCTGCCCCCCTCCCCCAGATTATCTCTGATAGATATCACTAGCCAAATGGAACAAATTTTTCTTTTCCTATGTGACAGAACCACTAATCACAACTAAGCAGGTATAATCGCCTGCTCTTCTCTAACAGGTCTGTTTGAAATGAGTGTTTGTCCCAGTAGAAACATAATTGGTTTGGAGAAAAGCAAAACAATGAAGTAGTATTGGCATTAATTACAGATACAATTTTTTAAAAAGATGCTGTATGGGTTGAAGAGTTCTTTCAAGTGTGATTACCAGGGACCCAGCGGCACAGCAGGCTGTCTGTCCTTCTCAGGAATAAGGCAACAGCCCTCCCCCAGCTTCTGAGCCAAATGCCAGAGGTGCTTAAACGACTTGTCAGGAAAGCTGTCTGTAACTCTCCCAGTTGAGTATGGAGCTTAGATCGTTTTACATCCTTATTTTTGAGTGAGCTCCCTGTCCGTCTTCAGACTCCCAGCCAGAGGTAGCCTTGACACATATGCAATGTCTTCGGGCAGAGGTGTCACTAGTTTATTTACATATAATTCATGGCAAACTGGAAAAGATCATGTAACATGTTTATACAGCTGCATGGATACCTTTCCTTGCACAGTCTTTATGAAACAACACATCTGTATGTGTCCTGCCTGTCTTTTGCACCAGAAACCAATTCTTATTTGTCAAGATAAGTGGTTTGTCATTTTTGAGACAAGAGCTCTAAACTTCAAGGATTTTCTTTCTTTCTTTTTTTTTAAAATATATTTTTATTGATTTCAGAGAGGAAGGGAAAAGGAGAGAGTTAGAAACATCAATGATGAGAGAGAATAATTGCTCGGCCGCCTCTTGCATGCCCCCGACTGGGGACCAAGCCCGCAACCCAGGCATGTGCCCTAGACTGGAGTCGAGCCCGGGATGCTTCAGTCTGCAGGACGACGCCCTATCCACTGAGCCAACCCAGGTAGGTCTTCAAGGATTTTCTTAAGTTTTAGAATTTGGCAGTTAGCGTTTATATCATCACAGTTTAACATTATTGATTTGAAGTGATCAAATTAAAGAGGCGAAGGGGTCAGTATGTTTAACTGAATTGAATGCATTGTCCATTGTAGGGTGTGCATCAATATTTTATAGACCACGAAGAAAGAAAACAACATGCTGTGAATTTGTTTGTGACATGACAGAAATTGAGATGCATCCACACTTCAGAGATGTTAAATGTGCATCTCACACTCCCATGAAATGTAGTATTTACTTTTCTGCTTTTCTGATGAATTCACGTAAAATAGTAACAAGCTTCTTGGGGAAACACACCTAGTAATAAATGTATCTTGACTACAACCACAGAAAATCTTAATAATACAACAATTACATATTTTAATGTGCTTTAAAGGTTTTAAGAATAATTGCTGGAAAATATTTAATTCTTAGTAGGAATTGAGAGAAATCTAAGGGTTTCTAAGTAATATGTTTGTATTAAAGAAAAAATAGTCTGTATTTTGGAAAAAGCTCCATAATATAAAACTGATTCTGGGTTGTTGGATAGGAAGCTTCAGCCTTTGGAGCAGGATGGGGGAACCTTTTTTCTACCAAGGGCCATTTAGATATTTATAACATCATTCAGGGCCCATACAAAATTATCAACTTAAAAATTAGCCTGCTATATTTGGTCAAACATTTAATTAACTCACACCTAATGCCTTGGCAGGGCCAGACTAAATGATTTCGCAGGCCTTATATGGCCCGTGGGCCGGACGTTCCCCACCCCTGCCTTGGAGGTTATTTCTGAGTGGAACTTTTTAGTCTTGCTTTTATGGTGTAGTATTACGGTGTGGTCTTCTACTAGGCAGGCAGCCATCGTCTTACTGCAGGGCAGCAGGTAAGGGTCAGAGTGTATATTTTATTAATAAATTATAAAATATCTTAAATTTTTACTTCTGATTTCAGCTAAGTGCAGATTTGCTGTAAAAATTTTTCCAGTATATTATAAAGAAGAAAATAAATCACCTATTGAACAAAAACCCAGAGGTAACATTAGTTAACATTTTGCATAATTTTTTTAAAAATCAGGCCTTTCCAGAGCATGAATATACAAATACTATTAGTATATTTAAAATAATTAGGTAGGGCTTGTGATTATGTGTACACCTTTTCTCATTCAGTATTCTACCATGAGCATTTCTCCATCAGTATTTTGTTTTTTGAAAATTACTATTACAAGTATATATATTATGCATGAATATACAAATACTATTAGTATATTTAAAATAATTTGGATCATCTTGTGATTATGTGTACACCTTTTCTCATTCAGTATTCTACCATGTGCATTTCTCCATCACTATTTTGTTTTTTGAAAATTACTATTACAAGTATATATATTAATTTATGAATTAACAATGAAAATATTGTCCATTAATCATTGCTTCGCATTTACATTATTTCTAATTTTTTTAATCATTAAAATGACTTAAGATGTACATCTTTACACATAGATATATTTCTCCACCTCTAATTATTTCTTTTTAATAGATTATTTTTAGGGGAAGAATTATTTGGGCCCCCTCATAAGTTGCCACATATTGTTGAATTCTATTTCATTAAGATTATACTAATATATGCTTACGCTGGTAAGCTATAAAAGACTTGTCTTATTGAACCCTTACTAAACATTAAATGTAAGAGAGAAAAAATATCTAAAACTTGCTTCAATGTATATTTCTTTATCTACCTAACATATTGACTATATTTTTCAAGTGTTAGTCACATTTTAAATTTCTTCTTCTGTAATCCATTTCTTGTGTGTTTTGTCCATTTTTAAATAAATATTGTGCTTTTCTTATTAATTTCTAAGGGCTTTCTATGTAATAACATTGACCATTTATCATCTGTTAAATATCATTGACAGTTTTTTATTGGTCTTTTCAATTTATTTATAAGTTTTGGTTATGGAAACGTACAAATGTTATGTATGTTCAGATGTTCAAAACATAATGAGGTCAAAACTTCAAAGTTTAAGGAATGGTGGCTATAAAACACAAGCTCTAGAGCAGTGGTTCTCAACCTTCCTAATGCTGCGACCCTTTAATACAGTTCCTCATGTTGTGGTGACCCCCAATTTCATTGTTACAAATTGAACATAATTAAAGCATAGTGATTAATCACAAAAACAATATGTAATTATATATGTGTTTTCCGATGGTCTTAGGTGACCCCTGTGAAAGGGTCATTTGACCCCCAAAGGGGTCTCGACCCACAGGTTGAGAACCACTGCTCTAGAGTTACATTGCCTGCCTTTGAATCTGAGTCTGTCACTTTCTGGCAATGTAACCACCTCGTGTAAATTGTTAAAACTCTTGTGTTTTAGGTTCACTAAGTTTAAAATGGGGATAATAATGTTTTTATGAGGATAAAATGATTTACTTGCAAGGAAGATACTTAGAAGAGTAATAGCAAATAGTAAGCCCCCAAAATCATGATGAGCCCGCAACAAGGGCATGTGCCCTGACCAGGAATCGAACCATGATTTCCTAGTTCATAAGTCAACACTCAACCACTGAGCCATGCCAGCTGGACAAGAAAAAAAATACTTTAAATACCTAGAGATAAATGAAATACTAACATGCTATATTAACTAAACTTTAAATTTAGCCAAGGTTTTGTATACATAGTCTTATAAGTTAAATCAATGATTAATTTGTTTATTCATTTTTAAAAATCATGTATCTAATAATTTTATTCACTCAACAAATATTTATGGGATTACTACTATATGTATGCTAGGAACTGCAGTTGAACAAATTGAACAAAGCAGATAAAAATCTTTGCTCTTGTGAAACTTATATTCCATTTGATGAAAAACAATAAACAAAATATATTAGCAACATAAAAAATATCATGGAGGAGATTTAAGGGGACAAGGAGTGCAAACTAGAGTAGTTCTAATTTCCAATAGGTTAACCAGTAGAGACTACTGATTATATGTTTTATATTGCTGTCAAAATATTACTATAAATTTAGAGGCTTAAAATAACACAAGTTTATTATTTTACTTTTTCTGTGGATCAAGTTAAGAGTCCAGGCACAGGCTACCTGGGTTCTCTGCTCACAGCTTCACAAGGCTGCAGTCAAGGTGTTCTGGTTCTCATGGTTATCATCTGGAGCTTAGGATCATCTTCTAAGGTCATTCAAGTTGTTGGTAGAATTCAGCTTCTTGTGGTTGTCAGAGTGAGGTCCCTGTTTCTTGCTAGCTTATGGCTGAGGTCACTCTCAGCTCCTAGAGGCCACCTGCATTTCATTGGCATGTGCCCACACCTCCTTATAGCCATTCACAGCATAGTGGCTTGTGTCTTTGAGGCAAGCTAGAGTATTTCACTGACACTTCACCTTATTTAAAAAGCTTCTCTGTTTAGGACAACCTCCATCACCTCCCCCAATCATAATCTGAATAATCATCCTTCTGATTAACTAACAGTCAACTACTTAGTAACTTAAACACAAGTGATATTTAATTATATTCACAAGTTCACCCACATTCAAGGGAGTGTGTACACCAGGGGTCAGAAATCTTGGGGTCTTTTTAGAATCTTGCCAATAACAGAGAAAGTAGTATTTGAGCCCACATCAAGGAATTAAGAGAAGGAGCCATGTTGGTATCTTGGGGAAGAGCATTCCAGGCAGAGGAACAGCCCTTGCAAGATTATGAAATTAAAGTATTTGTCATGTTTAAACAACAGCAAGAATTGGGAGGGAACTGTATAGCTAAACAGAAACATTAAGGAGATTAGAAGATAAAATCAGAGTTATAATGGAAAGCAGGACATTATGTAGGCTTGTAAGTCATTGTAAAGACTGATTTAAATATGAGTGAGATTGGTGCGTGGATGGGGCCATTGTTGATGATTTTGAGTGGATGAAGAATATAATCTAACAGTGCTATCCTACTGAGAATAAACTATTGGAGATCAGAGTGGGAAGCCAATAGACCAATTAGAAGGCCTATTTCACATAAAATTCCAGTGAAAGATTATGGGGATCTTGGATTAGATCATTAACAATGGAGGTAGTGAGAACAGGTTGTGTTTTATAGGCATTAGAAGGTAGAGCTAATAGATTTGCCTGATGGGCTAAACATAAGATTTTATAGGGAAAGAAAGAAAGAAAGTAGTCAGCATTGATTAATAAACCTTTGGTCTAAACAATGGGAAATCAGACTTTTGGTTTACTGAGAAGTGAGAGACTTCAGGTGGACCAGGTTTAGACAAAACATCAGAACACTGGTTTTGATTAGGTTAAGTTTAAAATATCTAGCTGACATCCAAGTGGAAATGTCAAGTGGACAATTGGATATGTGAGTCTGGAGTTCAGAAAATAAATCTGGGTTAGAGCTATAAATTTGTGAGTTATCAGCCTAAATAAAAGATATTTAAAGCTAATAAGGCTAGAAGAGATAACAAAGAGTACGTATGTAGAGAAGAGGACCAAGGACCAAGTCCAGTGGATTCCCATGTTAAGAAGTTGGGGATTCTTTTTTCTCTACAACCTCTCCAATACTTGTTGTTGCCTATCTTATTGATAATAGCCATTCTAACAGGTGTGAGGTGGCATCTCATTGTAGTTTTGGTTTGCATTTCCCTAATAGCTAGTGAAGTTGAACATCTTAATTCACTGATGGTGGAAATGTAGACTGGTACAGCTACTACGGAACACAGTATGCTGATTCCTCAAAAAATTAAAAACAGAGTTACCATATGACCCAGCAATCCCTCTTCTGGATATCTACCACCAAAATTCAACAACATTTATTTGAAAAAAAATAT